TGATGCAAAGCTGCCCACGGAGATGCCACCCCTCATCCTCTCCTCCCTGCTGGTTCAGCATCACCCACCTGGATGAGCATCCCCCCAGGAAGCCGCTCCAAAGCTCCATCATTTCCCCTATTTCAAAGCAGCTCTGGGGTTGCAGCAGCCCCCAAGCAGCTGGGACTGGTGACAACAAGGGGACCATGGCAGGATCTGCCCCAGGACACCCATCCCTGCCCCAGGGATGGCTGCAAAGCCCCAGGGAGGTCAGGAAGGGCCTGGCCACATGCGAAAGCTTTGGCACCGTGTGTGTGTCCATCCATCTGTCCGTCAATCCATCCCCCCATCTGTCTGGGGTTAAACCCAGCCCGTTCCCGCCCCATCCCCCAGCCTGGCTCCATCACACTCTGGTGCTGGCACTTTAATTCCTTTATTTATCATTGAAATTGTCTCTTAATTGCTTTGGCAGCCCCTCTGCAGCCTTGTGGCCAGGAGAGAGGGGCTGGGGGATACATAAGGACAGAAACAAGAAACCCTGGCTGAAAGCAAGGGAATGGATCCTTGCAGGGCTGCCCCAGGGGACGGCACCCATTTACCTGGGGCAGATCTGCCTATATGGGTGCCTGGATGCCCCCAGGGGGTGACAGACTGGTCCCCAGGAGGCTTTAATATGGCCTAGGGAGCTTTTACCCCAAAAAAACCCTATGGCTTTCTGGCCCAAGGACACCAGCACATACAGCTGCACCTTTGGGGTCAAGCCTGAGCCAGGCTTGGGGCTGGGAGAACAAAACAGAGATGGAAAGGGAGGGAATATATATATATATATACACACACATATATGTGTATATATAATTCCCAACCCACACTTTAAATTAATTAGTGATGTCCCCAGTGACTCAGCAGAGGCCAAATGGCTTTTGCCTCGTGTTTTATTGAAGGGCTTTGCTGTGGGAGGCTGAAGGCAGCGAGGGACAGGGGACACTAGGGTGCCGGGGATGCTCCATAGGGATGGGTGTCAGCACCCCCTGTAAGGCCAGGGCTGTCCTGGGTGTCCCTGTCCCCTGCTACCAGGGTGGCATCTGCATAATCATCTTTACATGATAAAGGGGATGGAATACAGCAGTTTTCTCTCATTTCTGAGTAATAATCACTGTTGGGAACGGAGCTGAATGGGGCACAGGGGAATGAGCAACCCCAGAGCGGGTGAGAGCTGCATCACCCCCCTATGGACCAAGGAAGGGCTGAGCTGCTCCTGCAGCATCCCCTCACCCCAGGGATGAATCCGCAGGGAAGCAGCAGCCTGGAAGCACCCTCTGCCCAGGCTTTCCAAAGCAGGGGCTGGGTGGTTTAGTGCTTAACAGGCGCTGAGGGATATTTCTTTTGGGTGAAATTGTCTAATCAATCACTTTTTAATCCAGCAGCTCCAGCACTGGGGCCGCCCTGGGATACGTGCATAGAGAAATACAGTCAGCTCAATGCTGGCCACTGCTGGGGGGCTCAGCCCTGCCTGGGGACACAGGCAATGTCCCCCCATCTGCCAACAGCCGCTGCAGCTTCAGCACCCCCATGGCATGGATTGTTTTCACTGCCCTCATTGCTCAGCATCATAGAATCATCACAGAATGGTTGGATCCTCAAAGCTCATCTGGTCCCAGTGAGCAGGGACATCTTCAACTAGAGGAGGTGGCCCAGAACCACACCACAACATCCATCTGCTGAGGAAAAGGGGCGACAAGGCAGGTCAGCGTGATCAGCTGTGGGGAAGAGGATTCCAATGGCAAGGAATCCTATGGGGAGATGGTGGCTTGGGCAAGGGCACGTGGAGGTGGTTAAATCACAAAGCAGAAGAGATACAGGGCCAGGGAAGTGCAATAAGGGGCCAGCAGATGCTGATAGCTCCTGGGCTCAGGACCCGGCTCCCCAAATCCATGTTGGGAAAGGTGGGGAGCATCTTCCTATAAACAGCGAGCCCCCCCCAACTGACACACAGCCCCTCGGTGATGCTCAGCCCTTGTCCAAACCTGCCTGCCAGCCTCCATGGTTGCATTTTTCCTTCCCTGGCCATTGCTCTTCCAAAGCCCCAATCCATCCCCGATACCAGTTTGGTCTCAGATTTACAGCCCAAGCCCCGCAATCCTCCGCTGCTTGTGAGGTCCTTCGAGAGAATCGCAGCAGAAAGTGTTTATTTCCACCATAAAGCCCTGGTTTAATATTTTACCATAAATCCCGCTGCGCTTTATGGTGATAATAAATTTGTTGGCAGAAAACTGCCTTTTGCAGCCCGAGGCAGTGGAGCGATTCCATTTGTTAGGGTTTAAGTGTAAGGAGCCGTAATTGAGAAGGGGAAAGTACAGATGTTTTAATTGAGTTTGCAGCTACCACCCAGAGTTGCAGGAGGCTAATAGAGAAGAGGTGAGGGTCTCCATTAGCCTCTCTGCTTGTCATTTCCCCTTGGCCTGCAGCACCATCCGTCATGGCTGTTCCCTCTGGGAATAGCTGCTCAGTGCATGCACCACAGAAGGAAAGGGGTGGGAAAAGCATCCAGACGAAACCAGATGTATAATGCACGTTTTATTGGGTTTAATCCCATTTTTGGAGGACTAATTACAGGCAGGACAAGCATCACGTGAGACTCGGTGATAATCAAGTGTTAGTGTTGGTAATGGCCAAATAAAACCACACTTTCATGATGGGGGAGAAGGGGGGGCTCCTGCCCTGCACTGAGGTCACCCAGTGTCCCCCTGGACAGCGCTGGCTCTGCTGAGCCACCCCCTTCCCTCTTTCTCCAGTCATTTTTAAGGCATTGCTATGTCACATCTGATATGAAGAATGTTCTCTCTGCCACAGAGCTTCTTTCCCTTCATCACCCTCACTCCTTGGGTGTATTTGTGCAAGGACAGCGGGTTATTTGTTTAAGAAAGCACTGGTGCTCGTGGGGACCAGAGTCCTCACTAAGGTACCACGGCAAGGGCTGGAAGCAGGATGCGAGCCCTCGCCGTGCCACTGCATCCAAAACCTGGATCCAAGCAGTTCTTAAGGCCCCTTAGAAATCCCTGCCACCACCGTGCTGAGGAGGAGAGGGGGTCACCCAGGCCAGGAAGCGAAGGCACATCTTTAACATGAAGAGATGCAGGAGACAGGATGGATTTGCTGTCTCCCTCCTCCTACCCCAGGCAATGCAGCCTGGTAATAGAGGGACAGGAAAGGAGGGAGACCAAGGCGAAGGGAGGATGAGAGATGAAATAACAGAGCACAGCCCCATTCCCTGGCTGGCAATGAAATGTGGAGGGAAGAGATTGCGATGGGCGCTTGCAGGGATGGAGGCAGAGCCAAGTGCCTCAGAAAGCCTCAGCTCCCCCCCATCACCCACATCTGTGCCCTCCTGCAGCCTCACCAGCTCTCCAAAGGCTCATTTCATCAGCACTCCATCCCTCTCAGCTGCCTGGCAGGTGGCTCCCAGCAATGCTGCCCCATGGATCTGCTCTCCAGCCTCCCTCTTCCTGAGACACCACCACCAGCTACCTGGAAGTAACTTGTTCACTTGGCACTGATGATGCCCCAGCAGCTTCCCCGGAGCACTTGGGGATGTTTAAAGTCGCTGCCAATGCTTAGGATCAAGCTGGAGAGGAGGCAAACAGTCCCTCCGGATCCTCTCCAAGCAGCTCAGCAAGGACACAGTGGCGGTGCTCAGGCTCAAGAGGTGCAGGGTTTTGCTTTAAAAGCCATGAAGTGTTTTTATACAGCTCCAGGTACTTGCATATTCCCGCAGGAGGAGCACTTCAGGTCATATGGAAACCAGAAAGTCCTACTTGAAAACAGAGCTTGATTAAAAAGAGCTGCAGTTCAAAGCTTGCTTTAGCGAGCGGAGACACTTAATACTGCAGCAAGTGCAGAGGGCAAGAGGATCTAACGTAAGCGACATGCACCTGGCTTTGAACCTGCTTTAATAAGGGGGGGGCTTAAAGTATTTCAGGTGGAAACTTCTTTTGAAGTTCTTCCTTTTGTTAGGAAAGCCCAAAGGTCTTTGCCCAAGGGCCTCAGAGCACAGCACCCAGGGCTGTGTCACTGTGTGCTGTTATAGGGACTTAAAAGCAGAGATTTACCTAAAGCACTGGCTGCCATAGGTAACAGGCAGCTCAGCTCTCCGAGAAGCTGACCAGGACCAGCCCAAAGCCCACTGTAGCCCTGTGTGGAAGAAAGGGGATTCAAGCCCAGTCCCAGCAGGGTTTCAGCATCTGGGATCCGTGCTCCTGCAGGCTGGAGGCACTGCCGCTGCCTCCTGGCACCAGCCCATTCCCTTGCGTTAACACCCACCTTGTTTCAAGGCTAATTACCCAGCACAGGAGGCTGGAAACGCATCAGTGTGCACAGCCGGAGCCCCTGCAGGCCTCACACGTGTCCAGACTGGGTAATTAGCCACAGGAATTCCAGCCCGCAGGAATCCCGACCGCTGGTCCTACCAGCTCCGTGCAAGGGGTCTGCATGCAGGAGCTGAGGGAAGCAAGGCTCAGTTTCCTCTCCAGGGAGGAAAAGCTGTATCCCTGCGTGTAGGGGCATTGCTTTGGGGTCCAACTGGGGTTGCCACAGCAGAGAACAGGGTGAGAAGTGTGAATGTAAACTCCTGGGCTTGGGAAACCAGCCAGAGATCCCAGACCCCAGCAATCCATGGTGCACAAACAGGTTAATGCCTCTAGGAAAAGGAAATGTAACAGAAAGCACAACTACTTCCTTCTGAATTAGATCTCCTCCCACCCTCGCTTCTCCCCTCCACTGGCACAGGAGGTTGGTTTGGAAGAAGAGACTCAGTTCTCCCAAACTCCTGCCGGATTCTGCCCAGCACATCCATGCCTTTGGGAGAAGGGACACTGAGCCGATTGGTGCAGTGAGCAGCCAAGGCTGTCTGCTCTCCCGTGCCGAGACCTGCAGCACAGAGAGCTCCAGCAGTGATGCTCCAACAGAGCTGAAGGCAGAACTGGCTGGACACTGGTTAATGGTGCAGGCTGCCAAGGGCTCAGGATTAGAACAAGGCTGAGTCCACTCCATCCACACTCCAAACGGAGTGGAGAGAGTCTGTGCTCAGGGCTAATCCTCGTCACCAAGCCCAGAGCCTGGAAACTTCCCTTCATGATGCCTCTCCCCCATTCCACAGCTGCAGAGGGGGAGCTGAAATGTCTCTGAAGCTGGGGAGGGAGCGTGCTGCTATCCCCGCATCAGAGTTTGGACTCGCTCAGGACAATGTTTGCAGTCACAAACACAAAGCAAGAGAAGCCCCATATGAGCACGAACACAATCCAGAAGGTGTGTCGGAAAGGGGAGAGGTGTTTGTTCACTGTCCCACTGCCAAAGACCAGCTGCGTGTCCTTGCGACTGCAGTACGCGAGGAAAGCCGGGATGAGGTACTGGATCCCATTCCCAGCATACGCTCCTGTGATCCCCACCAAGGACTCCAGATCGTGGGTGCAGAAAGCCACCAGCACTGGGGGAATGAGCGTGATGGCAGGAAAGACAATCCTATCCACCAGCCACGGGTAGGTCCCCCCTTCCCTGTGGAAAAGAGTCTTCCAGTTGTTGCGCAGGGTCACTGCGATGATGGGGAAGTTGGTGCTGATGGTGAAGACTGGGAAGAGGCCCAGGAAGTAGCGAATGAAGGCAACGTTGATGATCTCACAGTTGGTGAAGTTGAGCGTGTACATGTCCATGAGGGTGTCGTTGCGGAAGCAGTAGATGGCAGTGAACGACAGGAGGCTGTAGAAAGCCAGGATCAGGATGTAATCGAGCAGCACGAGCTTGTTGACATGCTTCTTCTTGGAGATGGGGGTGATGAGGGATGGCAGAGAGTGCTGGCACATGAAGGAGTAGACGCACACCCCAAAGAGATTGCGGATGCCTGAGAGCTGGGCCATGGATGGGTGACCTTCAGCTTGGCCTCTGCTGATGCGGATGAGAGCCAGAATAATCATGAGGATGAAAGCTGGGGGGAGAGAGAAGGTTTGAGGTCAAGCCCAGGTCTGCACTCCCCATGACCCTCCTCCCGCCAGCACTGGCACCAGCTCTGTCTCCTGCTCCATAAGAGCATCTCCTTATCTTTGGGGAAGGTTGTACATCAAAGCCAAAGTACGTGGGAATTAATCACCACTTGCTTCCAGTGCTAGTCAGCAGATAAGGAAATGGGCCTTTGGCAGGCATCTTCCCACAGGGACTCACCCTCCCACCTGGATAGCAAACAGTTGCGCTGGGCCCTTTGGAAGTGGGATGCTAACAAGTCCATCACTCTCATGGGTCTCGGTCCATGGATGCTTCTGCCAACACACTGTGGCTAAATATCACCATCTGAAAATGGCTTAGAGATGTCTGAGCTTTGACCTCTAAAGGAAGAAAAGATTAAAGCTGGCTGCAGTCAACCCCAGTAATACTCTTTAACATCTGCAACTGGACTAATGCTTCCAAGCCCTCACCTATGTACAGAGGCTGATGCAGAGGAGCAGCAGCTACCACCAAGCTTGGCCTGTCCCTGTGATGTGTCAGGCTTGATAGAGCAAGAACCAGCCAGCCGTTTCCCAGGCAGGAGGAACAGGCTGTCTGTAGTTAATCCCAGGGTGCAGAAGCCAGTCTGGAAGGGACTAAAGCAGCACTGAAAGACTGCGATTAAAATTCATCACTTCTAAGGCACCAAGTCTGCCCCTCACTTATGTCAGGGAAAAGCCTAACGACGTTTTACAAAGCTTATCACAGAAAAGCAATGTGCTGTGGACAAAAAGGAATTGAGGAGATTGGTCTAACGCCCTTATTTACTCTGCTGGTGGCAATTTGAGCCAGCAGCAGTTACTGCTCGCCTGTTATTCCTAGCATGGCACATAAAACCAGCAGCAAACTAATTCCGGTGTCACAGAAATCACATCAACCTAGGAAAGATGATCATCAGCTGCTGGAGTTAACAAGGAACAGGGGAACAAACCCTACCTGGCAGGGCAGCAAGCAGCACGATTTACAGCCTGGTGCTGGCAATGGATGGGCCACTGCGGCTTGCACAGGGCTATCTCCTGCGCTGGTCTGAGGCATCAGAGCAGAGCTGTGAATTATCAGGTAACAAAAAAGAACAGCAAAATGCTGAGATGACTCCTTCTATGGGCAACTTTAATGTCATAAATATCAATACAGAGGAATTAAACAGAGCAGCACAGAGCCCACAGGAAGGTGGCCACCAGTGCTGTGAGCCTGGCCATGGGGTGACCAGGACACTGGCTTGCTCTGTGCCAAGCACTGCTCTGCCTGACACAGCTGGGTGGAGATGGGAGACCCTGCCAGGGACAGAAGTAGGGAAGATAGTTCCAGACCAGTGTACAAATGCTGCTTCTTCTGTCCCCAGTGAGACCAGATTAACCCAAACTGGTCATCGCCTCCCAGCACTCTCCAAAACCCTGTTTCTCGTCTCTCAGCAATCCTGTCCTTCCCACAGCAAGCAGCAGCTCTGTGCTGAGCCACACTCTGTATTCCATCTCATGCTGCCTCAGGAAACCTCTCACTTCCAACTGTCCCCAGTGACAGGGCAAGTCTAACAGCTCTCCAGTAGCGCTGGGCTGATGACAATACATCCATTCCTTTGTGGCACCACAGGGGCAAAGCCACTTTGGGAGTGCTGGGCTCTATTTACTTCCCCAAGAGCAGTCACAGAGATGGAAAAACATCAGCTCATTGCTCTGGGGCTGTGCAGTTCCCCTCGCCTTCACTCAAGCCAGTAAGTGAGGGGCACTGTGAGCACAGGTACAGTTGTGCCTCCTCTATTGCTCCCTGTAGGGGAGATGCTTGCCAGCGTATGTGTTACAGCAAAACAGCTGGGAAGAGCTGTGCTCCAGGTGATGTGACACTGGCTGCACTCCCTGGGGCTGCATAGGCTACAAGGAAGAGGAGAAAGTGCCCGGAGCAATCAGAAAACCAGCTTTGGAAATACAAGATGAAATAATGAGACCATTCCTTTCCTTCCTGCTTGGGAAATGTGGGCATCCTCTGCAGCACGGTCCTGAGCTGGTCCTGTACCTGGATGAGGTGTAACTGCACAAGTCATGCACCTCTTCCCCTGCACACAGTAAATCTCCACCTCCTCTGCTCAGCAGAGTGAGGAGTCACCTATTTCCACTTCCCAGACTCACCACTGGCTCAAAGCCCTGCTTTCCACAGCAGCACTAACAGGACCAGTGCAGGGGAACGTGCAGGCTGGCGCCCCATCCTCTGAGCATCTCCTCAGTTAGAGACACACAGGCTCTCCTCTGCTCTCTCTGACAGGGAGCACTGAGAGAACAGAATTCCTATGGATTTTTGGCTTAAGCAGCTGGAATTCATAATCTTTCCCTCAAATGTTTCTTTCAGAAATTAAATGTATTAAAGTTACAACGTGTGAGGATCCAACCTAGTGGTGAGTGCCCCTGCCTATGGCAGGGGTGGAACTGAATGAGCTTTAAGGTCCCTTCCAACCCAAACCATTTTGATTCTATGAATACGAAGATCAAAACTAGCACTGTTTCCAACAAGGCTGTGCTCCCCCTGCCCTGGTGCTTGCATGAGATGCATGGTGCTGGGTAAACTGGAATCCTCCCCTGCTCAATTCCAGCCTCAGAGAAGACAACAGCAGCCCTGCCCCAACGGCTGTGTTTTCTCACTCCCTGCAACAGGGAACCAGAGAGCTGAGACATTTGCATGCCAGATTTATCTGCCTGTCCCTGGGAGGAGACGAGCCCCAAAGTGAAACTCTGAAACCTGGTTATGCCAGGTGATAAATCAAGATGAAAAGAAGATGACAGATGCTGACTGACAGGCAGCTTTGGGCAGACAAGAGGCAGTGCAGGATCCTCAGGCACACGCAAAGCTCCTGCTCGCATCCTCCTCTACCTGGGACAGCAGGCTGAAGGCAGAGTTAGGCCATGCTATTTCAAGTCACTTCCAGTTGACACACTGGCTGGCCCACAGCGTTCCTGCATCACAAGGACCCTGGTGAAGTCAGACATGGGTTCATAAAATAAGCCTTGATCTGCTCCTCTACACACATGGCATGATATAAGATGCTCCAAGGATGAAACACCTTCAGATACCACGACCAATAGGTACAAAGCGAGGTGGACAGCAATGCAACCATGGATTGTTAGTAAGTTACATGAAAATTTTGTTTAAAACCTTTATTTATACCTTTAAACCTTTATACAAGTGCTTAAAACCAGTCGAGGGCTTTGCTGCTCCTGATTTTTCACCAGTGTCAGACCCATTCCAAGCCCACACACCACAGATGGGCTTAGCAGTCAGTGAGGCACAGGGGACACTGCTGGTCCCATCATCTCTCCTCTAGATGTTTGAGCATCATTTTTACTGAAGGATGTAAGTGAGACTGGAAAGAAAATAGAGGGGTATGTCATAGAGGAAACGCTGTGATGAATCTCATCACCTACAGACCTCTCCTGTCACTCTTTAAGGAGCAAACTGGCTCTTCTCCCTGACAGTGCAAGCCCTTGCAGGCAGCTACTGCTGCCTGTCCTGCTTGACTCAGGAGATGTTGATTCAGAGATAAGGCAGCTCTGCTCTGGCTCTTGCAGGTGGAAAAAGGATGAATATGGATGAGCACACATCCTAATAAGAACACCTTGGGAAATATGGGAGCCTGGGGATATTAAAGAATACATTTTGGTGAACTTTGATAGAAGCATAATAAGGCTGCAGAAGAGCACTGGAGATCATTTAGCCATTCTAAGATTAACTATTGTTTTGCAGAGTCAGAGCAAACACCTTTGTAAATGAGAAAATGTTGGTCTATACCTGAACTTCATCTCTGCAGAAAGGCTATTGCAAGGAAGGAGAGAAGCCCAAGCCTAAAACACATTATTTTCCCCAATCATGATAGGGTCCTGGAAGAACTGATGCTCAGAATGAATTCCTGGCTTAACCCTCCCTTGCATCCCTGGCAAGGAACTGAGATGCTTGACTTGGTGCCCCACTTCAGTCTCTCTGATGGCATGTAGAAAATAATGGAGAAGATCCTGAACTGAGCCACAGTAGGGAACAGGGAGGAACTTGGAAAGAGGTGCCTTGGCAAGGGGGAAGCAAGCTCAGAAGTGAGGTTCTGCAGGACTGGGGCACTGGATAACGTTTCTATTATCCAACACAGATGTTGCCTCCCAGGTTCACCAGTGAACTTCAACCTTCAAAGCATTGCTCCCAGGTAAAACAAGGATGGTTTTAATGGCTCTAGAACGCATCAGGGAGACATGATCTAGGGATGAGTAAAAGACTTATGGAAGAAAACAGAACAAAGGTTACGTGACAAGCACCTTGTACGTGAAGAGACAGGAAGGTAAAGACAGAGGAACTGCACCAAACCTCGAGTCACATCTTCTCCAACTCGGTCCGTACTCTCATTCTTCCTTCCACAAGGCACAACTGGTGAGAACACCCCCAGGGCTGGAGAGGCAGCGGTGAGCACCACAACCACGCTGTATCAGCAGAGCAGCCCAAGCCTGGCTGCTCTCTACCCCCATCCACAGGCATTTGTTTAAGCAGTGGGCTGTGCTGCTGATACGGCCCTGGCAGGGCCATCCGTCACCGTGCCTGAGGCTGTGACAGAGCTTCCTTGTTGAAGCAGAGCATCAGCGTGCCAGGAAATAATGATAATGAATCACCCCTTCACAACACACGTCACTTGCTTCCCGCTTCATACATTAGGAGGCATGATGGATCCCAGGGAGGAGGTTTTCATGAGCTTCCTAAGCCCATTCTCTTTGGAAAGAGGAAGATCTCCCCTTAACTTAATCTTGATCCCGAGTCTCCATCAAGCCAAAATACTCTTAAACAGAGGAACAGATCTCATTTAGTTTAATGTTAGGCAGCTCTTTCAGGAGGGCATCTGCTCTGTACACGCTTCAGCACAACATCACATCAAGACAGTCCTACCTTCTGCATCTCTATCCATCAGTGTTTCGGGCAAGTTTAAGA